CTCCACCAGGTGGTGCCCCGTCCTCATTGGGCCTCCCTGCACACCTGCAGCTCGTTGGACCATTACCTGAGGACTCTTAAGCTGCTGACTGCCACTACCTAGAGGCAAAAGTGTTTGCCAGTTTTGGGTACTCTAGCCAAGCTGAGTTTTGCTGAGTCAAACTGAGTTTTTGTCAACCTGAGTCTTAACATTGTTGTTTTTTTGTCTTTGCCTCTCAGTAGGAAGTCATCCTGCAAACTGGATGTTTTGGACCTTCTCCCCCTGGAAGGATCGACTGAGTTTCAAACTGAGCTGGGAATTCAAACTGGAGGTTTGGATCTACTTTTCCCCAAAGGATTGTTTGAGCTTCACACTGAGCAGGGGATTTATCTCCACCAGGAACCGTTCAAGTACCATAGGAAATCTAAGGGGCAGTCAGCTCCTCCGTGCCTCAATGAAACACCTCAACCTGGGTAAACCCTGTTCGCCCTCCAACGGGCAAGTCAATTACTGGAACAACCCACACCGACTGGATTCAGAGAAAGACAACTTTACTGGAAACTCCCGGTTCGCCAGTGTTCAGAGCAGCACTGGACCCATCTCTACCTGTTCTCAGTAAACCTGTTAAACCTTCCCTTGGTCTGTCTGTTTGGTTTTCTGCATGTGGGTCAGATTTTATAACAAAATCACCCTTTGGTTGTATGTTTGCATTTCATAATACCTGTATAGTTTATAGAAAGTTACTAGAACACAGATAAACATGGTCGAATCTATATTATTATTTCGCTACCCAGATCTGAGCATGTCCGATGATGATATCAGACAAGCAATATAACAGAAAGCATGTTAACTTGTCTACACCACAGCCTACCTTAGTATTGTGGCTCAGCGTGTCTCTTTCACTAAAGAATAAGGAACAGTCCAATCCGATAATATCACCGTCTACCCAATAAAGTGGCTGGTTAACATGACACTGCAGCACAATTCACTAATATAAACCTTTTCATAGTAAACATAGCTACTGGCTTTCTTAAGAGTCCTTAGAAGTCTCTAAATTGCTGAATTTGCACAATCATCTGCATGTAATTACACCACATGTTGAGAAAGTGATTAGTATTTACCATTATTTCAGTCAGCAATGACTCATATGCCACCCATATTACTGTCCTCATAAATCCCTGAGTATGACTGACACTTTGCTCCATTACTCATACCTGTCATTTATCTGAAGGAAATGGTATTCGTATTTTCTGCACCAACAACATTAGAGTGGCATTTCCACAGCTGAGGATTCAGACGTTTTAATCCCGCATTTGTGACTAATTGGTAACACAGGATTGCCGGGTTCTGTCACTTTACTGGAAACATAGGGTGTGGATGTGTGTTAAGTGTTTGTCTGTTTTCTAGCAAAAGCATGATGGTGTGCATGTGAGTGCTGATGAGCACGGTACTTTATTAAAACAAATCCAGTCAGAGTGGGGCTGGATAGCTTCCTGACTGTCAAAATGTAATGTAAGGAGACAAAGCTAAAAGAAAACAGCAGTTTTCATTTCCCAAATATATATTAAAGCATATAGTGAAAGTAACAAAATAAAAAAATCATATATTTTTAGATTGTGGCGCTGAAGAAATTGATCAAATCAACAAAAAAAAAACAAAAAAAGGACAGCACTAAAAGGAAATAGAGTAACAACCCTGGAGTTAGTAGCAGAAACTAGGAGAATATTCTGCAAAAACCAACAAACTTATTTCCCCTTTTAATGTTTTGATAACCAGATGAAGGAAACTAAGCAAAGCCCTCAAATAAAAGGTGGGCTCAGAGTATTGCATCTTTTCCAAGCAGAAAAAGCTTTGACTGCCAACAACACCTGGATTATTCATGTAATTAGCATGTGGTTTTCTTATTTAAATGTAATATTTGTTTGTTTTGGATTTAATAAACAAATCTTTACTTTCATAANCTACAAAGAATAAGGACCTGGAATTAGGTAAAAAATAAATTATTGTTGACTTCTTTCATTTAAAAAGATACACGGGTATATTAACAAATGCTTTTTGAAAGCAACTGAAATTATAAAAATACAACAAAAAATGTCAGCATTTTAATAACGTTTACTTTGCTTTAATTCTGCTGATTTCCATTTTTTTTTATTTTAACAATAACCAAACAACAAAAAAATAAAAAATAAAATTAAAAAGGAAAGAGATCCAAAGTTTTAAAATCTAATTTCCAAAGGATTATGAATTTGCCTTTTTTTTTTCCCTCTGTGCAGTAATAAATAACAGAAAATTAAGGTATAATAATTAAAGCAGGAAGTCTAGCATTCCCTCCATGTGGTATCTCATAACTGACCAAATGATTTCTCAGTTTGTGTAATGGAAATGCAAGGGCCTGTAAGGGTCTGTGCTAATGTAAAAGCTCACAGTAGCTCTGCTGCAGGTTAATGCGCTTAAATAAAACGCAACAGAATTGGAGCAGACTTAGCAACACAAGAAAACTGAAAAATCTAGCATTCAAATTTCAAATTGAACACCTGTCATAGTCACAATTTTGAGACCTAAAGTCAGAGCAACATAACCCATCTTTTAAATTAAACATGAAAGATACTCACATTAACAGTAGTAAAATGGAGCCCAGGCAGAAGTTCAACTGAAAAAACTGATTGCTCTCCTACATCCACCTACAACACAGCCAATCAGCTTTGAACCACACCTCCACAAAAGCCAATCGGTTCCAAAGTTCACCTTAAAAGGCCTCCAATCCGTAACTTGCCTGCTACCGAGTGCGCAGGCGGCGGATGCGCTGTCTGACTTCATTCAGATGACCCTGTTTCAACCCACCTCCAGCCCCTCCTCCACCATCATAGCTAAACTTCATCAGAGTGTCATTCCTCTCGGACTCTTACTACATTCCGCGTCTCATTTCAACCGGTCCAGCAGAAGACCGCCATATTGAGCCTGGTTCTGCCAGAGGTTCCTTCCCAATGGGGAGTTTTTCCTCTCCAGTGTCGCTTCATGCTTGCTCATCATGGACAGGTTCTCTCAACCTGTGTTATCCAAGCTGGACTTGCATCTTCCAGGTCCCTGAGTGAAGCTCTAGTATCAGTTCATGCAGTCAACTGGATCCCCCCATAAAGCTCAGCAGACCGTCTCACTAACCAGCAGTCTACAGACTGACCAACTTCCTCTATCTCCACTCCACCACCAGTTTCAGACCTGGGGGGAAACAGCCCTATTCTTTACTCCTGTTCATGCATATCTATCAAAATTCAGCGTTATGTTTCCTTCCGAGGTCTGAGCGCCAAAGACAATGAAATTGTATCATTAAATTTGTTCTAATTGTCTTTTCTCTTTGTGAAAGTTTTTCAGATTGAAATGTTTTTATTCTGACTGTTTGTAGATGCTCCTTATTTAAATGTAACATTGAGATAGTCTTTCACATTCTCATTTTTAGTTTATCTGAGATGAGATGTATCACTGTTTGAATGAGCAAATTGTACCGGCATAGTAGCCATATAAACTACTGGAGAAAATGAGCTTTCACAGGATGTGAAAATGGAAAGGGTCACCTCAGAGATTATATGACTCAGACCACCTTGCGCCAAGATTAACAGAAAGCAACATCACAGGCCAATTCTATCACTACTTGTAAAAAAAATAAAACACTAAACAACATTGTGTAAAAAATTGCGTTGCTAAGAGAAAAACGGCGCTTACATAGTTTTTGCTATATCACTCATCTCCAGGAAATGCGATCCCTGCCCTACTTCTCGCAGCGCATTTTCTGCATATTTAAATAACTGTGGTCCCCTTTGTCAGGAATCCAGTTTTTGCGGGTTGTTTTTGTGTTTCCTTTTCTCCTCCACCAGGTGGTGCCCCGTCCTCATTGGGCCTCCCTGCACACCTGCAGCTCGTTGGACCATTACCTGAGGACTCTTAAGCTGCTGACTGCCAC